CCCGGTGGCCGCCCCGGCAGCCGCCGAGCTCCCCGTCCTGACAGCCGCCGTTTTGGGCTTGGGTTGCTGCGGGAAAGCAGCGGCTTGYGGCTGGGAAGGGACGATGGCCGGCGCCTTGCTCCTGCCGGCACTGTCGGCTGGAGCCAGAGCTCTCCCCTCGAAGCGCTGCGGGCAGAGCCATGCTCCTCCTACCCYTGGGCTCAAGGACATTTTCGTTCTGTTTCGGCTTCACGACCTGAACCTGGCACCGAAAGAGGAATCGCGGTAGTGCGGAGGGACGGGAACCCCTCCTACGGCGGCAGTGTTAGATGGCTCGCCCCCGACAGCGAGCGTTCGATGGCGGGGTCGCCCCGCAGAGGCGCCTTTGCCGGTCCGCGAGGGGAGCGCGAAGAAGGCGCGGCTGGGCAGGACGTCGGTCCTTGGCGGGGGTTGCCTGTGCCACCGCTCTGCCTTGTCCGCGCCGTGGGAGAGGAGCGGGTGTGGGATGTGCCTCGACGGCATGCGGCGCGGCGGGCAGGGTGGCAGGGCGGAGCGGCGCTGCAGGGCGCAGCGCAGGGCGGCGGGAGGGGTCCGGTGTCCCCGCGGCAGGGCAGGTGCTGCGCCGTGCCCGCTCCGCCGGGCCGAGGGCGGGAGGGAGCAGCGGCCGCCTCGGGCTGCGGCGGCGCCGGTGCCCGCGCGATGGCGCTGTGCAAAGGAGAAGGCACCGGGACCGGCCGGGCGGGTGGTCCCGGCCCCAGCCCGCAGCAGCCACCGCGGGCTCGGGTCCCGCCGCCATGGAGCCTGGGCCGAGCGGGGAGACCGGAGCCCTTTCCTGTGGGATCTGCTCTCCTCTCTTCGCCTGCCCCGCTGTCCTGGCCGTGCCTGCTGCAGCTGCCACCCCGAAGGGACCCGGAGCTGCTCCGCCGGGGCTGCGGGTCACCCTGCTCCGATTCTGCCCGCCGCTGTGCCGTCGTGGCAGCCCGGGAATTCTGAGCTTGGAGGCAGTGCCCGCGGGAGCTGGGCCGGTATCCCCCGGGACACAGCGTGCGGCGTCGGGGCCCCCGCCTCTCCCCGGGCCGCAGCGCTCGCTCCCGGCCGAACCTCGCCATGAGGCTCTCGTTCCGCGGGCGCCGTGGCCCCGGTGAGGTGCTGAGTGGAAGGGGGAGAAAATAGGAGGCGAGGAGAGCKCCCGGCGGATCCTGCCAGCCACRGAGGCCGCTGCGTGGGGCGAGAGCWGCTCCGGCGCGGGCAGCGGAGGCCCGAGAGGTTGCGACAGCCCCGGCTGCAGCCGCGTCTGAAGCCTGTGTGGGTACAGAGCTGTGATCACTTCCATGCCTTTTGGCTTTAAAAGTGGTAGTTAATGAAAACCAAGCCTTTCCAAGGAGGTGTTTTTGTTCGATTTTTTT